TATTTGCAATGAATAAGTCATTGATTGTGCAAAATTCAATCATTCTATCTCCAGCTTCATTTCTGTCACCAAGTCCATGTTTTCCAACTACAAATTGGTTAAAATATAAATTTGCTCTTAGTGGCCCGCTAATCAGGTCTCTGCTTTTTCAAATTAAAAAAGGTCTTGTCACCTGGACACAACAAAGAAGTAGGAGACTTAGTGGTCAAAGAAGCTCCACCTAATGATTCTGACCTTTTTGGCAAGAATCTGGTCAATCATCCTCAGCAAGAGAAAAGGCTTAAAAGAAGAGCATGAAAGGAACATTATTTCACTAGGCTCATTTTGAAAAACAGAGGATCAAAATGATGACGTTATTATTTATCTTATTGTGTCCTGTCAAATTGGATCTGACTGGCATACGAGGAGACTACCCCTCCTTTTCCAGCAGGTAGATTTGAACTGCACACAATCAGGATTGCAGCACATCTTCTTGCCACTAGGCCATCAGAGCTCCCTAAAATGATGACATAATTATTTTTCATCAGCAAAATCATGTGTACTATTTGCAAATATCTATGTTTGGTAGTTTACCAGACACACAAATAGCGTGGGAAGTACCAGTTGATTATTTATAAGGTGCCTTCGCCTTACCTTAGGGAGCCTTGGTGGCACCCTGGATAAAGCATACACAAAAGTCGTCACTGTCAAGTCAAGGCAATTCCTAGTGAATGCTACAGGACAGAATCTTATGACAGCTCAGGGGCTTGCCCAGGATGTGGATCTTCTAGGAGCAGGATGCCTCATATTTCTCCTGAAGAATCCTCTAGTGAATTCAAACTCCTGACCTCTTCTTTTTGCTGAGAAGTCTTTAAACACAGATTAAAATAGTTTTATGAAAAGAGCCATGTTAATTTGTATGCATAGAAGTTACAATAGTAACTTTCTATTTTCCACTCCTGGTTTCAGAAAGGTGATATTTACTGAGTTTCAAAGGGAAATGTATATAGTCAAAATGTATCATCTCTTGACTTTTCAGCATTTGAAACACCTTCCTCTGCTGAGAGAATTCTGTACTTTTGTGCCTAGGAGGTGAGGATGACAAACCTTACAGCCTTGCCCCTCACGCTTCCTTGCAGTAAGTAGGACCACATCTGACCTGCACTTCACCATTCGGATTCAGCTGTGCCAGATTTTGACTCAGAGACGTAGGAACAATAAAAACAGCAACAAAACCAACTAACTCCAGATACGATGGAGTTTGAGCCCTCTGGAAGAGTCCACTGTAGTGGCTGCTGTAAGAGTCCAAGAGCACAACCAACAATAGCTCTGTGGGGTGTGATTGGTGTAAAATGATTGATTCCCTGCTGAGAGACATCCTAGCTCCCCACCCCCACCCCTTTGATGTGAACCATCAAATTGGATCCTAGTCACAGGAGGAGATTAACCCTCTTTCTCCAGTGGAGCATCTGGTGGATTTGAACTACACACCTTTGCAATTGCACAGTTTCTTGTCACTAGGCCACCAGAGTTCCCTGGACATCATATCTTTTTAAATGACTTCTTATCTGATTAAAGGAGCTCTGTGGCATAGTCAGTAAGGGGCACACTGCTAACACAAAGGCTATCTGAATCCATTAGTGACTCAGTGGGATAAAGACAGGCAATCTCCTCCCAATTTGCTGGTGGGTTACGTATGGGCTGGTTTTGACTCTACGGCAAAGAGCCCAAGCATGCCACTTTAATCCAAGTGCCTAAATAATTGAGTTTTGAGATGAATGACCTAAAAACCAAGTCCACTGCTATTTAGTGGATTCTGATTCACAGTGAGTCTATAGGGTGGGGTAGAGCTACCCCATACAGGTGCCATCTTTATGGAAGTGATCCTGGCACCCTTCTTCTGTAGCTGGGCTGATGGTTTCAGATCACCATTTGAAATCAACAGGGCAGAGAAGTATGGAGTGAGTCCAAAGTAAAGAGCAGGTGAATAGCTAAAAAAAGCATAGTAAGTCTTAATTAAAAAGAGCTACAAACTGACAAAACACAGTGTTACAAGGTAATTTTAACCAACGAGGATTTATTAAAAGCCAGCGGTGCACCAGGCACAGTTCTTGCCCAGGAGGCTAACACACAAAAATGATGTAACCAATTCACTTATTAGCTTATCTGATTAGACAAAATACATTTCATAGAAATGATTATAAAATGCATTGCAGATAGAAAACAGAATATCTTTTTAGACCTACAGATCTGATGGTGTCCTAAACAATTATTAATTAAAAACCAGCCAACCCATATGGTAGATAAAAGTTAGCCAACTACCAGTTATTTATTTTGGGGCAGTAAAGGAGGAAAACATGCCATCATCGTGCTGACAGGGATTTCAACCTTCAATTCAGACATTCCAATTCCAAACTGCTAACACAATCCACTTACAATCTTTAAAAAGGCAATGTTTTTTTCATCCTTTATGAAATCACTATTACAATTTTTGGTTTAAAGATTAGTTTTGGTTTCAACTTAAATTTAGTATGGTACTTCGGTCCCATGCCTCACAGATTCCTGACCTGGGGCGGTAAGAAATCACTCCAATTAAGTATTAGTCATGGGAATAAGATAAAACACAAACGAGATCACTTAAATTACTGATATTCTTGGCAATACTGAACTGAGAAGTTAAGGTAAAGATGATTTAAACCAGAAAATAACAATAGGAGGAATAAAAACCCTGTGGATGTTATGTTTTCTTCCACCTTGCTCACGTACTGCTTTTTCCCTGGAGATTCATGGCTACATCTTTAGGGGGAAACAAGTCCATGGCTACACAACCTTAATTTGAAGGTTAGTCATGAAGGATTGGAAAGGAGAGAAAAAGAGGGTGAGAAAGACTGAAAAGGCATGGAGTGGAGTGTGTTTGCTGGCACCTTTTCAGTGATTGCTGAATTATATCATCTAAGAGAGAGACTACAGGGACCTTCCTGGAGACATTCAGAAAAGTTTTCTTCAGGCAGCAGCAGTGAAAATGTCTTCAGAGAGTCAAGGTCAACAACACATATTGCACAGAAACCAAGATTGTTCTCCTTCCCGGCTTTCCTGAGCTGGAGACCTCCAAGTGCAAATGTGGCTTTGAATTCCTGTCCATGAGCTCCTCCGACCAGCAGGGGGCTCTCCACCAGAACACCTGGGGAGCACCTTCTTCAAAGGAAAGTGTGAGGTATTATGTTGGCCCAAGTAACCAGGTTGGTCAGTCTCCATTTTCAAGCAGCTTTTGTAAGTTGTTTTGTATCTTGAAATAACAAAAGAAAAGATTACATTATTAAATAAAATAAGGTAGATTAGGGACACATTAGAGGAAGACCCTCAATCTGGTGGATTGACACAGTAACTGCAGCAATGGCTCAAGCATGTCAGTGATTTTGAGGATGAATGACACAGGATAGGACAGGATTCAGATCTGTTGTTGCACTTCAGACATGAGTTGTACTTGACTCAACAGCACCTAACCACCACCACCACAACAACATACAATGCCTGTGATGAATCTATTTTACTTTGAATAAACAACTAACCAAACCCATTACCATCAAGTCTATTCCAACGCAAAGCCACTCTCTAGAACACAGGAGGGCGTCCAAGGCTGTAGATCTTTATGGAACCTGGTTGCCACATCTTTTCTCAAAGGATAAAGTTATTAAAAGGGAACCAAATTTAAAAAAAAAACCAAAAACGCCTTGCCATTGAGTCAGAACGGACCCATAGCTGAACCTCCATTGTGTTTCTGAGGCTGTAAATCACTCGGAAGCAGATTGCCCTTTTCCCCTCCTAAGAAGTTGCTGTTGGATTCAAACCTCCAGAGAGGCTTGGACTTTGGCTTAGTTAAATGTGGCTCCCTTTGGACACAGCTATCAGAGTGTCCTGGATAAAGCGATAGATGGGGTAATTTACACGAGGCAAATTAAATATTTAATGGAATAGAACTGTCTGGAAATTAACTTTAAAGAAAAAAAAAAGGCAAAGAAACAAAAAGGTGTGATGAAAACGACAACAGAGACAGAGAGACATGAGACTGAAGAAAGAATAAAGCTTTATCAAAACCAGGTGTGATGCAAATCCACTCAGAGGCAAAGGGAAACTTGTTTTCAGAGCCCACTCAGCTTCCTGTTTCAATCAGAAACACCACATAGTATCGTCTAAGACACCTATCAGACATTGTACATTTCTCTGTAAGAGTCTGAGTTTCATAAGTTCATGCCCTGTCTTTGGATCTCAAGCCCAGTGCTGGGCATTTAAATGTGCTTACATATTTGTCAAAGAAATAACTTGAAAGAATTCAAAGCAAGGAAGTCTCAACAACTAGCAGTGTGAACTAGGATTTATCAGTTTGTTGTAATATGATGGCTTGCATGTCACTACGATGCTGGGAGCTATGTCACTGGCATTTCTCATACTAGCTGGATTATCCATGGTAGACGAATTTCAGAGGCGTTTCCAGATTAAGACAAACTAGAAAACTAAAGAAAAAAAATCATCGTAAAGAGAGAAAAAAATTAAATTGTCAAGGATCTAATTTTACTTGGATCCACAATCAACACCCATAGAAGTATCAGTAAAGAATCAAATGATTTACTGCATTGGGCAAATCTGTTGCCAGAGACCTCTTTAAAGTGTTAATGAGTAAGGATGTCACTTTAAAGACTAAGATACACCTGACTCAGGTAATGGAATATTTCCAATTGCTTCATATACATGTGAAAGTTGGACAATGGATATAAAAGGTGGAAAAAGAATTGATTCCTTGGAATTGTAGTGCTGGTGAGAAATATGAATATACCACAGACTGCCAAAAGAACAAACAAATTTGTTTTAGAAGTGCTCCTTAGAAGCAAAGTTGGTGAGATTTTGCCTCATTTACTTTGAGCATGTTATCCAGAAGGGTCAGTCCCTGGAGAAGAACATGCTGAGGGAAGAAGGAGGTCCAAGGGAAGAGAGGGAGACCCAATAAGATGGACTGGCACAGTGGCTGCAACAATGGGCCTATGCACAGCAGAGACTGGTAGGATCAGACAGGATTTGATTACGTTGCACAGCAACACCGTGAGCTGGAGCCAGCTCGAGGGCTCATACGAAAACAAAAAGAGAAAAGGTCTGGTGATCTAGTCCCCAAAATTACCTGGGGAATCTCATATGAGTCACATTAGAACATTTTTTGATGAGTTTGCTTTGAACATATAATCAGAAGGGAGAAATCTCTGAAGAAGGGGATCATGTTTGACGACGTACAGGGCCAATGAAGGCAAGAGAGACCCTTAGTGAGATGGGTGGTTTAAGAGCTGTTAACAATGGATTCAAACATGCCAATGACTACAAGAAAGATACAAGACCAGGCAACATTTTGTTTGGTTGTGTATAAGACCGTCATGAGTCCGAATTGATACACTTTTTCTAACATTGTCATGGATGTATAGAACCCTTGAATGCTAAATAAAGGGAATGTTTTCTTCTTTTAATTGAATAATCTATACTATCCTACAGATTTAGAGGATAAATAATAAGGAAAGAGACTTAATATACACATGCCAAACCCTTCCAAATGCTACCTCTAGCCACACAATCTCACCAAGAAGAGATTTCACATGTGAAACTGAGGGGGAGTAGGTCTCTTTCGCCTAGCAGTTGTGCCCTGTCTGAAACTGTGGATAAGACTTGGCCAGCTGTAGGCCTGTTGCGAACAAGACCTTTTGTTTTCTGATCTCTAATTACAGTAAGTGATGCGCTCACTGGGCCTGATGTGAGAGTGGGAAGAAACCCAGAAGGCTCTGAAATTCCAGGCTATTCCAATCCAAAGAATTTGTAGGTCAGACAGAACAGATCTGAAATACCATCCTATTTTCCAGCTAGGGAGCTCTGGTGGTGTAGGGGAATGTAGCTGTGCTGCAATCCTGAAGACATGCAGTTCAAGGCCATCAGCTGCTCCATGGGAAAAGGATGGGCAATCTCCTCCTATGTGATTAACTGCCTATTAACCCAACTTAAGAGTCCTCTATGGGGCTTTCTATGAAGATGGTGCCGAAAGCCAAGAAGGGAGCCCCTGTCCCTCCCAAAACTGAAGCCAAAGCAAAGGCATTAAAGACAAAGAAGGCAGTCGTGAAGGGCGTCCACAGCCAAAAAAAAAAAAAAAGAAGATCCGCACGTCACCCACGTTCCGGCGGCCTAAGATGCTGAGACTCCGACGGCAGCTCAAATACCCCCAGAAGAGCGCCCCCAGGAGAAACAAGCTTGACCACTATGCCATCATCAAATTTCCCCTGACCACTGAGTCAGCTATGAAGAAGATAGAAGATAACAACACACTTGTGTTCATTGTGGATGTCAAGGCCAATAAGCACCAAATTAAACAAGCTGTAAAGAAGCTCTATGACATTGACGTGGCTAAGGTCAACACTCTGATTAGGCCTGATGGAGAGAAGAAGTGATGCTTTGGATGTTGCCAACAAAATTGGGATCATCTAAACTAAGTCCAGCGGGCTAATTCTAAATATAAATTTTTCTCACCATAAAAAAAAAAAAAGAGTCCTCTATGGGTCCATTTCAACTGGATGGTACACAACAACAATAGTTTGCAGCTAGCATGAAAGTCAAACATTTGAAAGTATTTAATTAAAAACCCAACCAAACAAACCTTCAATCTCAGAATGTAACATCTTGGAAAAGAAAAAAAAATAATCTTGTAGTTTACACATACATTTCTTTAGGTTGATTTTAGATTAAGAATCTTAAAAAATATTCTAAGTTTATCCACTGATGCAATGTCTCAACAGAAGACTCCTCAGCCCTCAGTATTTTACTTGTTAAGTTCCAGATAACAATGAGTGAAGCAAAACAGAAAGAACTGTGCTCCTTGATATTTCACAGTTTGTTTGTTTGTTTTAAGTAAGTTTGTCATTGTTGTTACTATGTATTGTAGCATTAGAACTGACCCATAGTAGGCCCTGAGGGGGAGAGACATTTCAGAGAAAGTTAACTGAATGGTTGGAGATTGTCCATCCCTCTCCCATGGAGCAGCTGGTGGCCTTGAACCGAGTGCCTTTAGGATTGCAGCACAGCTTCTTGACACTAGGCCACCAGAGCATTTCTGTATCCGCCTTCTTTCAGCACTTAGATTGTTGTTGTTATGTGCCATTGAGTCACTTGTGACTCATAGCGACCCTATGTACAAGAGCCCTAAAAGCCGCTCTATCCTGTGCCAACCTTGCCGTCTCAAACACACTCATTCCCACCACTCCACTCATAGAATCGATCCATCTCATTGAGGGTCCTCCTCTCCTGCACCGTCCCTCCACTCTCCCAAATATGATGTCCCTCTCTAAAGACCAGTCCCTCCTTGCAACATGCCCAAAATATGTCACATGAAGCTTCAGAATCCTTGATTACAAGAAGCATTCTGGTTTCACCCTCTCTAGGTCAAACTTGTTTGTTCTCCTTGCAGTCCATGGTATATTCAACACTCTTCTCTAGCACCACAGTTCAAAGGCATCAATTCTCTTTCTATCATCCCTATTCATTGTCTAACTCTCCGATGCATAGCATGTAATTGCAAAGACTATAGCCTAGATCAGGCGCACCTTAGTCTCCAGCCTGATGCCATTGCTAGATAAATAGTTTTGGGATTCTGGGAGGGGAGAGAGGCGGAGCTTTCCTCATTCCCACATTTCACCTCAGGTACTACTGGGAAAACAGGAAAGGGACCCCTGCCAACGACGCCATAGACTTGAACAGTAACTGAAAATATTGGAGGTTCAAGTCCACCCAGAGATACTCAAAAGACGTGGTGACCTGCTTCCAAGAAACCAACTGTATTAAACCGCATGGAGCACAGTTTTACCCTAACACACACAGGGTCCCCAGAAGTCAGAATCAACTCCACAGCAAGTGGAAATGGCCAGTTACTATCTAATTGTATAATAATTTTTATCAACTGTGAAATTGCAGTTCTTCCTCTATCAGACAGGGATCATTATACCTACTATTCAGGGCTGTAATCAGAGTTGAATGTAACATTTTACGTATCGTAAAAAATCACTCTTTGTGAAGTTTGAGCTCGCCTCTCTGGTCAAGGCCAGCAGGCTCCATCCAGTCCACTCCTTATCTTACAACAAAACACCCCAGTGTTAGAGGCTATCTGCCACCGAACACCATGGTACAGACAGATACTTCTAATGGAGAAAGAAAAACAGCAGACTGACAAGATCAAGTCTTTTTTTTTTTTAAATGAGACTAAAGTCTATTTCTTTGTAGAAATAAAAAAAAATTCCCCCCCCCCATATTTATTATTGGAGTGGCAATTTTGCCTTACTTGTGGGACTAGTTTTGATTCCCAGTTAACACACCTCCAGTGTAGCCACCAGCTGTCTGTCAGTGAAGGTGTGCATGATGCTAAACAGGTATCGGCAGAAATTCATTCTAAAACCAATTAGGAGGAAGGGCATGGCAATCTATTTCCAAAAGTCAGCCAATGAGAACCTTATGGCCCAAGAGGTAGAGCCACTGTATATGGGGCTGCCATGAGTTAGGGGCCAAGTTGATGGCGGCTAACAATAATAATCTATTTACTACACAATCCTCTAGCTGGGCATTTAGGCTGCTGCTAAAACAGAGGTGTTTCAGTGTAGAACCACTGACTGAGGGCAACTGTGAGGCATTACTGCTATTGTCTCCTAAACAGGGAAGACATCAGTCACCTTTTCCAATTTCATGATGTTAGTTGTAAGCTCTTGGCAGAGGACCTCCACATTTAATTGTACTTGTGACCCCAGGCCAGATGGTGCTGTCTGTCTGTAAGAACAAAGAGATTACTATGAGCAATAATGGCAAAGAAAGAAGTGGAATGAACACGTTTTGAATTTATCTGAGCAGAAAACTAGGTTAGAACAGAAGACAGTAGGCAGTTCACTTGTTAGCAGCAGAAGGGCACTGAAGTAATCTATAAACTCCAGGTTAGACACTTAGGGGAATGCTTTTTAAATGCTCAGCTGGAAACTCCTTAAGTTATTTTAAGTGAGCATGTTGATAGCTGGATTTACAGAAAAAATCACACAATTGTTCTTAAACACATGGTTTCTTGTTGTTGTTAAGTGTCATGGAGGTGAGTATGACTTACAGGGAACCTATGGACAACACATCTGACGCCTGTCCTATCCTGTTTCATTTTTATCATCTCTGATATACTTGATTCAGTCACTATAGCCTCCACCCTCCATCACCCTTGCCTTCAGGAGCACTCTGGTTGCATTCAGTCCCAGCCTGGTTTCTTAGACCTCCTTTATCAATGTCCTATCTCTTCCCACAAGTGTGTGTGTGTGTGTGTATGAGAGAATCATTGTTCTTCTATGTCATATACAGACATTTTCATGGGAAAAGGAGACAAAACTTCCAGAATGCTTAAAATGTATTTAATGAATATATATTCTAGTAAGTGTGAGATTTTAGTAATTTCTTCTTCAGGACTTATACTACAAATGCAAATACTGTTGTCTCATAACCTGATAGAAACTTAAAAAAAAAATGCAAACTTATTGCCACCTAGTCAGAACCATCTCATAGTTGACCCTCCAATGAGTTTTCTGAAGCTGTAAATCTCATGGGAGATCACTCATCTTTCTCCCAAGAAGCACCTTTGGATTAGCATCAACACCATCTAATAATTATCCAGAAATTCACCCTAGTCAATCCAGAAACAAAAACTTGAGGACTCAGTATCTGGGATTTAACAAGCTCTTGGGTGCACATTAAAGTCTGAGAATCTTGGAGTCACAGAAACATGCATTCTATTACCAATCATAAGACCGAGTCTATAAGACTATTTGACTATTTAACATAAGATTATTTGAATACTGATTCTTTTACTAACTCTAAGGTAATTTACTTCTCTGACTCTTGATTTCTGTATCTGTAAAAGAGTAATGGCCACTGTCTTAGAAAGTAATGGTGATGACAGAATGAGGGAAGATTTTATATATTCTTATGTTTGTGTATCTATTTTAATACAGTTTCAGTTATGTAGAGGGTATTTTGTAAAATACCTCTAAGTCTGCATATAAGTATGCTTTCTTCTAACAGAATAATTTCTTTTATATTACTTTTTAGACAATGCAAATTCAGTCAAAATCCTCTAGGAAGTGGATTTAAAGGAAATAACTCATGTCTGACTAGATATGATTAGATCCTGGCTGTTAAACAATGAAAGGCTTTTATTTTAGTATTAACACAACAGTTTAGGGGAAAAATACATATTCAAAGTTAAAAAGAAAACTTAAAAAAAAAAGAAAACCTATGGTACATTTGTTACAATTGATGAGCTAAAATTGATACATAATTTCACTAAAACTTATAGTTTACATTAATGTGCATCAATTTTAACAAATGTGTTACCCTAATGAAAGTCAAGAGATCAGGAGACATACTGCACTGGGAAAGTCCACTATCAAGGACTTCTCTAAATTACTGAGAACGAATGATGTCATTTGAAGACTAAAATGTACCTGATTCAGGCTATGGTCTTTTCAATGACTTTTTCTGTGTCTGAGAGTTGGACAGTGAATAAGGATGACAGAGGAATTGATGCCTTTGAGTTGTATTGTTTTGGAGAACACTGAACATGCCATGGACTGCTAAAAAAAACCAAACAGGAATATCTTGGGAAAAGTGCAACTAGAGTGCTCTTTGTAGGCATCTCACATACTTTGGGAATGTTGCTGTCGTTGTTCTGTGCCATCAAGTTGCCCATGACTCATACTAATGCCAACTCATACTGATCCTATGTACAATGGCTCTGAACCCTGCCCTGTCTTGAGCTAGTCTCACTGACTCTGACACACCTAATACCATTGTGCCAGTTACCACGTCAATTCATCTCATCTAGTGTCTTCCTCTCCTGCATTGTCCCTCTACCCTTTTGAGCATGATGTCCTTCTCCAAGGATCAGTCCCTCCTGGCCATGTGACCAAAGTATGTAAGAAGCAGCTTCAAAATCCTTGTCTCCAAGGAGAAACTTGGTTTTACTGTCTCCAAAACAGAATTATTTGTTCTTCTGATGGTCCATGGTATGCTCAAGATTCTTCTCCAGCACCACAACTCAAAGGCATCAATTTTTCTTCTGTCATCCTTAATCATTGTCCAGCTCTCTGATGCACAGCAAGTAACTGCAAAAACCATGGCCTAGATCAGGCGCACCTGATCTATTCTCTAGACTGACGTCATTACTCTGCAGCACTTTGGAAAGGTTCCGGACAGCAGATTCCTCAATGAAATTTGTCTTGTGATTTCCTTACTGCTGGTGCCAGGAGTGTTGACTGTGGAGCCAAGCAAGCTAGGAGAGGCTATTCCTTAGAAAGGGATATCATGCAAGGAAAAGTGGAGGAGAGTCAGAGAGAGAGGAAGACCCTCAATGGAATTGAACTGACATGCTAACAGCAGCAATGGACTTGAGTATGCCAGAGATTTTGAGGATTGCATAGGATAGGAGAGAGTTCAGATATTGTTGTTCATAGGGTCACGATGAGTTGTACTAGGTGATGCCTAACAATAACAATGGAAGGTATCAACTATAGGAGAAGCTGTGTGCAGGAGGGAGAGGTGGCATATGTGAATGCTCTGTATTTTCTGTGGAACTTTTGAAAGTGTGTGAAAAGCTTAAGAAGAACAGCTATGATGAAGCATCTTCACAGGCACATTCAATTAATCACTAATCACATGGTCTTTTTAGTGACAACTCTTTAAAATTTTGCAAATAAGTGAGTTAAAATACAAAATTATATATGATGATATATGCTGAGTTGCTTGGATGTCTTATTTTTTTAACTGTCTTTGTTGCTTTTGCTATTACGAACACTGAGCTGGAACTAATCTATAGCTGACCCTCTAGTGTTTGTGTGTGTTTGTGTGTGTGTGTGTGTGTGTGTGTGTTTAGAGGCAGTAATTGACACAGGAAGAGATTATTCATCTTTATCCCATGAGTAGTTGGTGGAGTTGAACCATGTGCTTTCAGATTGGTACTCTGTGCCACTTTTACCCCGTCTAGTATTAACTTGTATAATTTAACAAATGGGCCAAGGTCATGACTAAATCTTGGGATAAGAGAGCAAGGTAATGTAAAATTAGGCTTGCTTCTTGCCATATCATTGGTAACAGGAGATCAACTCAAGTGTATAGTGCAGCCTCAAATTAATAATTTCTCCAACACTCTTTCCTCTTTAACACCCTGCACACAGACTTAATATAATGTCTTATACAAAATCAATTAATGTTTGCTAAGAATCCGGCCAACTATTAAACTGATCTGACTTGGAGAGATGACAGCAATGTGGGAGATTGTCTTACTTACTCAGTGTTATGGGTGGTGACAACGGAGGTTAGTGATCCCAGTTGCTCCTCAAGGGTATTAATTCTGTATCTCATGTAGAAGGTCGAGATGATTAGTGCACAGACACTGGAGAGGCATAACAAGAAGAAATTCTCAGTTAATGACCAGTTGTTATTGTTGTTGTTGGTTGCCATTGAGTTGAGCTTGACTCATAGCAACCCTATGAACAAAAGGCCTGAAGTCTTCCTATAACTATTGACATTTATCAAAGTTCACAGAGTTTCCAGATGCAGAGGCATGCTGTTTAGGAAGTGGATGACATTCCTGCTTCCAATAATGACCAGTACTTGATATTCATAAAATAGTATTCTCACAACCCATGGAATACATTGGAGGAAAGGCATTTTCCAAAATAACTCCAAAGCACTGAAGATGCTGATGTCAGTCTGGAGACTAAAGTGCTCCTGATAGAGCCCATGGTCTTTGCAATCACTTGCTATGCATCAGAGAGCTGGACAATGACTAGGGATGATAGAAGGAGAATTGATATTTTTGAGCTGTGGGGTTAGAGAAGAGTATTCAATATACCATGCTAAGAGAACAAACAGGTTCATCCTGGAGAGGGTGAAGCCAGGCTGTTCCTTGGAGGCAAGGATTCTGAAGCTCTGTCTGACATACTTTGGACATGTTGCCAGAAGGGGATAGTCCTTGGAGAGGGACATCATGTTTGAGAGGGTGGAGGGACAGCATAGGAGAGGAAGACCCTCAATGAGATGGACTGATTCAGTGACTAGGGTAATGGGAGTGGGTGTGTCAGAGACAATAAGATCGGCACAGGATAGAGCAGGGTTTAAGACTTTTGTACATAGGGTTGCTCTGAGTTGCAGGTGACTTGACAGCACATAACAACACAAACAATGAGATTTAGAAAAAGTCTTCTTCCAAAGGCAAAAATCTTAATATGTTAGAAAATCTTAAAGCTGGAAGAGTACTGAAAAGTCTCTAGCTGCAATTCCTTACAAATGGTCATTCTAATGGGACTGACTGCTGAAGGTCAAACCAAGTTGGAGTACCAAGTCAGTGTTTCTCCTCCTACACAGGGCTGTCTCCCTCTGCTAGAAGGGCACAGTGCTTCACAAGTACCTGCTTTCTCTGGAAACTGGGCATATGCTCTTTGGTTGTGCAAAATGGCTTAGAAGTGGGTCAGGCTATTTTCAGAAGACTAACTGGTTATGCACTAGAAGTGGCTGGGAAAATGTAACAGTACTTAAGTTCTCAAGATAGAGGTTGACATTTTTGATGTTTTGATCTCTAGCCCAGGGACATGTGAGAGGTGGAGAAATGAAATCATAAGGAAAAATAATGTTTCATAACTCACAGAACAATTTCCCAATTAATAGTATTAACGCCGATCTCTGTTGGATTTGGCATAACCATTTCCCTTTTCAGACATTCCTTCTCATTATTTCCTTAAAGAACAGGGAAGTAAATACCAAAGTGTGACCTGAGATTGCCAAAGTAAAGTGCTGAAGTAGGAGACAAAAATTGTCAAAGAAAGTATCCAGATCACATTAGAGACAGGCAAAGTTTTTCACATCTCTGGGCCAAGTGAAGAGAACAGGTTATTCCTTCAGAGAACAGAATCACTTTCTCAAGTCACAAACAATAATTTCATTTACTTACACAACTGCATAAATTATAAGGATATGGTGAAGAGTCAGACATTTTTCAGGTTTTGCTCTGTGTCCTAGTCCAATGGTTTCTGACTGAGCTGTTGGATATGCAAATAGAGCAAGTTTTAAAAACCACACATAACATATGTCATCCAGCAACAAATACCTTTGTGGGGAAGAGACATTTCAGAGAGAGATTTATCCCAAAACAAGGAAAATCAGAAAAAATATACTGACCAAAGGCCTTCAATTAGTTAGCTAAGAGAATTCATTAGCCAAGAATTAAGGTTCCTTTGCCACCCAATCAATATGTATTGCCTTAATTGAGAGCTAGTGGAGTTCATGGTGGAAGATAGAAATAATTTGTGACCTCATATCAATGATGACCAGTAATCATTTACTAGAATAACTCCTAAATAGAAAATAATCCCATACTTTGAATTTTACCACCATTTAAAAAGTTTTAATATCAGATTATTTAGAATAATGAAATAACTTCCAGGTAGATTTCTAAACACACTAATGTACAAAGACCTAAAATGGGAAGTGAAGTTAAGGCATGTGAAAAACAGTAATAAACTGAAACATAAGCACTTAATAAAACATTAAAAAGGTGCTCTAGTGGCATAGTGTGTTGTATGTTGAGTAGCAGTTCAAATCCGCTTTGAGATAGATGGAAGAAAGATGGGCAACCTCTTCCCATAGAGATTTACAGCCTTGGAAAACCTGATGGAAGGTTGCTAGGAGTCGGGAGGGAAACATTAAAAGTTACAAACAGATGCCCCCAAAGCCCAGTCCCTTACCATGTACAGGAAGACTCTTTGCTTTTCCGTCAGGCACTCTGCTCACGTGGGCATCTGCCCGATTCAGTTTTACCTCCCCTTTGGAGGCATTTAGAACTGTCTGGGACTCCGTCAAGTGGAAATCTATGAAGATAAAACAGGGCTGGGTAACTTTTCTGTCATTTGCGCTACACTATATAATTTCAGCTTTGAAGCAAATCAAACTCTTTTTTTTTCTTCCTTCTTTTAAATTATTATTTTTTTT